GCCGCACCCCCTGGTGGGCTGAGCTAGCCACACACACATAAATGGATAGATGGATAAATAAATAAATTTAAAAAAAAAATAATAATAATAAAAAAAATAAATAAAAGATCAACAGAATTGACACAACAGCTAGATGAACTAAAAAAAACTTAAATTCCTAAAATCTAAAATGAGTGCAAGGCCAGCCAGATAGCTCAGCAAATTAAAGCACCGGCTTAGGCAGATGGGGGGGGGGGAGGTGCTGGTTTGATCCCCAGCAGCCTGCCTGCTGATGGGTGTGGTGGCACACCCAGCACTTGGGAGGCTGAAAAACAGAAGGATCACTATCAATCTGATCTGTGTAGTGAGACCCCATAGACCCTGTACTGAATACATTAAAAATAATAATAAAATAAAATAAAGGTAAGAGGCTAGGGATATAGCTCAGAGGCACAATGCCTGCCTGGCAAGCACAAGGTCCTGAGTTTGATTCCTGGCACTGGAAAAAATAAAAAAGGAAGGTAAAATAAAATGAAGGTAAGCATGTTACTGATTCTACAGAAGCAAAAAGGACTGCAGGTAAGTACTACAATGAACAATGGCAATTATGAACAATGGCACACCAATAAATTGGATAATTTAGAGCACTGATGGCAAATCTTTTAGAGCTTTCAATGATACAACTAGCCCACAGTGGCAGGCGCATCATAGGTTCGCCACTTTAAGTCTTAAAGTAAATGGATAAATTCCTAAAAACAAACAAACAAAAACCTAACAAGGGGCCAGGGAGATACCTCAGTGGTCTAAGTACCGGTCTGGCAAGCACAAACTTAAGGATCCAGGTTCAATCCCCAGTACTACATGCTGTGCCAGGTCCAGAAGCTGTACTGGGCACAGAAACCTGGTGCGGTGGTGCATGCCTATAACCATAGCACTGAGGGGGCTGAGAGAGAAGGATCACTACAAGTCAAAGATGTGTAGCAAGACCCTATACCAAATAAAAGATTAAAAAAAAAAATCTAACAAGACCACATCAAGAATAGAAAATCCAGGGCTGGTGAGATGGCTCAGTGGTCTAAAGCACCTACTTAGAACAAGCTAAGCTAAGCAAAGCACAGGGACCGCGGTTCAATCCCCCAGCACCACATGCCAGCCAGCCCCGCCCCCTGGTGGGCTGAGCTGGACACACACACACACACACACACACATAAATAAATAAATAAAATTAAAAAAAAAAAAGAATAGAAAATCTAAGCAGAGGCAGAGGGGAAAGGCTGGGGCTTTAAAAAACAAAGTTAAGTATGTACATGTACCCAATGCCTAAAATGACTGCCAACTACATACACTATAAATGTGTACTAATAAAACAAAAAGAAAATCTAAGCAGATCTACAACTAGTAAGGAGACTGAATTAGTAATTAAAGTCTCCCATCAGTGAAAAGCTCTGGATCTGAATTGTATTAAATATTTATTGTTTTGGTGGTGGTGGTAGTAGTGGTGGTGG